TGAAACATGGGGTGACTGAAAAATAGTGAGGCTGCTTTACCGGAACTATTAACTCTGACACTAATTTTAGTCAAACTTAGTACTAGGCATTAATAGAACTAAAAAACCATGAAAGAAATGGAAAATATTGAGATCCTTTTCTAATTCTTTAGAAAGATATACATAATACAATTATAGAACAGAAGAAAGGAAATGATTGAATTAATGCTATAATGAAATGTTTGTAAATTATGGAAATTAAAGACATAAAAGATGCATATGGCTTAATGGCAGATTATTTATTTGGTTCATTTGTACAGTGTTCCAAGTATGAGAACTGCTTTTATGTCTTCATAGTTTAAGGAAGCTATTTGCAGCTACACTTGGAATTAGCTTTCTCTTCTCCATACTCAACTGTTGATCCTTGGTTTTCTCCTTTTATTTTGTCAGATATTGCAGACTTAGTTTCTCAGACTTTATTTGAGTGTGTAGTGCTTGTCAGTAGGCTGTACTGTGCTGTGCACAACTTTCAAAATCCTGAAGTCCTATCTGTGACTTCTTGGCTGTGTTTTTCTTCATTTGTGAATTTGTGTTAGTAATAGTATTCTGAATAGGCACAGTGGCTCATACCTGTAATCCCAGCACTTTGGAAGGCTTAGTCAGGAGCACGTCTTGAGCGTAGGAATTCAAGACCAGCCTGGGCAGCATAGTGAGACCCTATCTGTAAAAAAAATTTTTTTAATTAGCTGGATATGGTGCTGTGTTCCTGTAGTCTCAGCTACCTGGGAGGCTGAGGTGGTTGGATTGCTTGAGCCCAGGAGTTGCAGGCTGCAGTGAGCTGTGATTGCACCACTGCACTCTAGCCAGGGTGACAGCAAGACTCTGTCTCTAAAATAATAATAATAATAATAATAATAATAAAATGATAATAGTACCCTATTAAAATATAAAGAAACTATGAAATGAGGTTTGTAAAAAATGATTTGGGGAATATTTTATGAAATTTAAAGTCCTATGGAAATATTATATGAGAGTAGTTTATGCAGTTTATTGTAATTGCTCAGAATCTTTTTAAGAAAAATTCTCCTGTCTGGTGATTCATATATGTTTATTATTGTTGTTGGTTTTTTGTTTGTTTGTTTGTTTGTTTGAGGCAGGGTCTTGCTGTGTTGCCCAGGCTGATCTCAAACTCCTGGGCTCAAGCAATCTTCCTGCCTCAGGCTCTTGAGTAGCTGGAATTATAGACACAGGCCACCATGCTTGGCTCATACATATTTTCTATGTATAAAATTGTCACTCTCTTTTTTTATGCCACATATACATACACATTTATATCTTGAATCTAAAATGAGTTAATCTCAGAACTGTAGAAATTAACCCTAGCTTCAGTCTCAGAAGGCTGATGGAGTTTTTTTGTTTTTTGGTTTTTTTTGAGAAAGAGTGTTGCTCTCTTGCCCAAGCTGGAGTGCAGTGGCATGATCTCGGCTTACTGCAACCTCCGCCTCCCAAGTAACTGGGATTACAGGTTCCCACCAACACGCTCAGCTAATTTTTGGTAGGTTTTTTTTGAGACAGAGTTTCGCTCTTGTTTCCCAGGCTGGAGTGCAATGAGGCGATCTAAGCTTACCGCAGCCTCTGCCTCCAGGGTTCAAGTGATTCCCCTGTCTCAGCCTCCCAGTAGCAGGGATTACAGGCATGTGCCACCATGCCTGCCTAATGTTGCATTTTTAGTAGAGACAAGGTTTTTCCATGTCGGTCAGGCTGGTCTTGAACTCCCGACCTCAAGTGATCCACCTGCCTCAGCCTCCCAAAGTGCTGGGATTATAGGCCTGAGCCACTGTGCCTGGCCTGGATTTGTTTGTTTGTTTTGTTTTGAGAAGTGGTATTGGTCTGTCACCAGGCTGGAATGCAGTGGCACGATCTTGGTTCACTGCAGCCTCCACCTCCTAGGTTCAAGTGATTCTTCTGCCTTCGCGTCCCAAGTTGCTGGGACTACAGGTGCATACCACTACACCCAGCTAATTTTTGTGTTTTTGACAGAGACAGGGTTTCACCTTGTTGGCCAGGATAGTCTTGATTTCTTGACTTCGTGATCCACCTACCTGGGCCTCCCAAAGTGCTGGGATTATAGGCGTGAGCCACCATGCCTGGTCCAATTTTCGTATTTTTAGTAGAGATGCGGTTTTACCATGTTGGCTAGGCTGGTCTTGAAATCCTGGTCCGGAGTATTATTTTTATAGTACTGCTGTGTTCATTTTGGCTGATGTACTTAAAATTACATATAATAATGAGGTGACTGGGTTTTTGGGTTTTGTTTGTTTGTTTTGGAGACAGAGTCTGGCTCTGTCACCCAGGCTGAAGGGCAGTGGCATAATCTCAGCTCACTGCAACCTCCGCCTTCCGGGTTCAAGCAGTTTTCCCACCTCAGCCTCCCAGTAAGCTGGGATTACAAGTGCCCACCACCACACTGGGCTAATTTTTTGTATTTTTAGTAGAGATGGGGTTTCACCATGTTGGCCAGGCTGGTCTCGAACTCCTGACCTCAGGTGACCTACCTGCCTTGGCCTCCCACAGTGCTGGGATTATAGGCATGAAGCCACCATACCCAGCCCAATTTTGATTATAGGCTATCATCTCCCTTGTTATTTGACATTTAATATAATTTCACACTTGCTTTTCATATCATGGTCAATTTTGTGTCCATTTACTAAGAAGTAAATTTTGAAAAGTGAATTACTATAAATTTTAGATTTCAACATCACTTAAAAAATATACTAGAAAATTGCCATCTGCCTAAATATATTTTAGAATAATTAAAATAAAACAGAGGTATGAGATAACTTCCTGAAGGAAAACAGCACCAAGAGAACCTAATGCTTTTTCCCAAGATCATTTTAGATTTGCGCTTATTCTAAAAGTTTAGATCTAAGCCCAAATAGCCTGTCTTGGATTAGCCTGAAAGATCCTCAGGACCCTGCTTCCGTTTTGGAGCTATTCCAGGACATTAATTAGATGTTTTTTTCCTGGGCTGGGCTTAGGACAAGGTTTACATATCCATGAGTTTTACATATCCATGTGCAACTAATAGTATTCCTGACACAGAGTGAAATAGATCTAAACATGTTAGCTGACCCTGGAACCGCATAGTTTCTTGGCGTCTTTGGACTAGAGATTGAATCTAAACTAAATCTCCCATGACTACTCCAGATTCATTCTGTATTGTATTCAGACCAATTTCTGTAGTTTTCCTGGAACTTAATGGGTCTCATTAAGTGATTTAAACTTACTTGTTTTCTCAAAAAGACTTTTTTCCTTTACCTGTTTATATAGTTATTTTCAGCCTACTTACATGTCACTTTAGGTGATATGAAAATATAAAAACTTTAGGTATCTTAAGGAAGGACATTCTTATTAGATAATGAATCGTATGTCATATAGAATTAAAACTACTTCAGTGAAAGGGGAGTAGATTTTTACTTCTCATAGGCTTGATCTTTAAAAATTGGCCCAGTGTGGGCTGGGCATGGTGGCTCACGCCTATAATCCCAGCACTTTGGGAAGCTGAGGCTGGTGGATCACCTGAGGTCAGGACTTCAAGACCAGCCTGACCAACATGGTGAAATCCCATCTCTACTAAATATACAAAAATTAGCTGGGCATGGTGGCGGTCACCTGTAATCCCAGGTACTCAGGAGGCTGAGGCAGGGAGAATCGCTTGAACCCAGGAAGCAGAGGTTGCAGTGAGCTGAGATCACACCATTGCACTCCAGCCTGGGCAACAGAGCGAGACTCCATCTCACACACACACACACACACACACACACACACACACACACACACACACACACACAATTGGCCAGGTGTGGTGACTTACACTTGTAATCCAGCACTTGGGAGGCTGAGGCAGATGGATCACTTGAGCTCAGAAGTTTGAAACTAGCCTGATCAGCATGGTGAAACCCCATCTCTCCAAAAAACACAAAAATTAGCCAGGTGTGGTGGTGCATGTCTGTAGTCCCAGCTACTTGGGAGGCTGAGGTGGGAGGATTACTTGAAGTTGGAAAGCAGAGGGTGCAGTAAACCAAGATTGTACCACTATACTCCAGCCTAGGTGACACAGAGTGACCCTGTCTCAAAAAAAGAAAAAGAAAAATTGGGAAATCATAAAACACTTGTAAATACTTTTGTATGTCTTTACTTATACGAAGATATAATCTAGTATTTAATAGAATTTATGGAAAACAAAATGCATGAAAATTTGGAGTTTTTCAATGAACAATTATTTGCCAGTAAGTTTTTTCCTATAATCCTATATCTGGCTTCTGGCAGGAAATAGATGGCATACTCAAAGGGACTTGGAGATAATTTAATGTAAGGAATTTTTTACAGATGTATGAGCAGAGTTAAAAGAGCCAATGGGACCAGCAACAGAGGGAGCCATTCCTACCATGATTCCTGGAAGGGGAGTAGAAGTAGGTGTTAGCCGAACCTGGCGAGAGTGGTAGCTGAGAGAGAGGCCACAAGAAGGGAGCTGTGGCCAGGATAGTGGAATGTAGCCATCACCAACACCACAGTCCTCAGTGGGGAAACAAGGAGAATCATTACCCAGCCTTCTCTTTCCTGTAACACTCTGATTCTCTGTTGGTACCATCCATTGAGCAGATCTAAACACAAATCAGAAAGCAAGGAAGCACATATGGTGCAGTCCTTAGAAATTAGTCTTCCAGGGCCTAAAGCACACCAAAGAAGGGGCAGGAGTAAACCTACAGGGAGAGACTGTTCTGCACAGTTTCTGAGTAGGGTATCTTGAATGTCATTCATTGTTATTCAGAATAGTTCCATTTTTCATGTAAGTTGGGCAGACCTGGTCAACATCTGTGTTCTTCCTATAAATTAGAATTTGAGGTGTTAAATCTCAACATCTCTGTTCTTCCTATAAATTAGAATTTGAGGTGTTAAACCTCAGTATCTTTATTGATATTTTACATAATTACATTTTAATTTTTCTCCCCCTTCTCCAGATTACAATTCCTAGACCTTCTGTGGCATCTACGCAGTCAACTTCAGGAAGCTTTCACTATGGTCAGCAGCCAGAGAAGAAAGATCTTCAGCCCATGGAGCCCACTGTGGAACTTTACTCTCCAAGGGAAAACTTCTCTGGCTTGGTTGTGACAGAGGGTGAACCTCCTAGTGGAGGAAGCAGAACAGATTTGGGGCTTCAGATAGATCACGTTGGTCATGACATGTTACCCAACTTTAGAGAAAGTAACCAATCTCAAGCTCTGGGACCAAAAGAACTTCCTGATCATAACAGACTGGTTGTGGGAGAATTTGAAAATCTCCCTGGGGAAAATGAAGAGAAAAGCATCCTTTTAGAGTCAGATAATGAAGATGAGAAGTTAAGTAGAGGGCAGCATTGTGTTGAGCTCTCCTCTCTCCCAGATTTGTTAATGGTGGAAAAGGATCACTCAGCTACTACTGAACCTCTTGATGTGACAAAAACACAGAATTTTAGTGTGGTGCCAAATCAAGACAAAAATAAGGAGGTAATGAAGCTTCTGACAGTTGGAACTTCAGAAATTTCTCCCAGAGACATTGACCCACATGTTGAAGGTCAGATAGGCCAGGTGGCAGAAATGCAAAAAAGTAAGATATCTAAGGATGATGACATCATGAGTGAAGACTTGCCAGGTCATCAAGGAGACCTCTCTACTTTTTTGCACCAAGAGGGTAAGAGAGAGAAAATTGCCCCTAGAAATGGAGAACTGTTTCATTGTGTTTCAGAGAATGAACATGGCGCCCCAACCCGGAAGGATATGGTTAGGTCATCCTTTGTAACTAGACACAGCCGAATCCCTGTTTTAGCACAAGAGATAGACTCAACTTTGGAATCATCCTTTCCAGTCTCTGCAAAAGAAAAGCTCCTCCAAAAGAAAGCTTATCAGCCAGACCTAGTCAAGCTTCTGGTGGAAAAAAGACAATTCAAGTCCTTCCTTGGCGACCTCTCAAGTGCCTCTGATAAATTGCTAGAAGAGAAACTAGCTACTGTTCCTGCTTCCTTTTGTGAGGAGGAAGTTCTCACTCCCTTTTCAAGACTGACAGTAGATTCTCACCTGAGTAGGTCAGCTGAAGATAGCTTTCTGTCACCTATCATCTCCCAGTCTAGAAAGAGCAAAATTCCAAGGCCAGTTTCATGGGTCAACACAGATCAAGTCAATAGCTCAACTTCATCTCAGTTCTTTCCTCGGCCACCACCAGGAAAGCCACCCATGAGGCCTGGAGTAGAAGCCAGGTAATGCTGTGTGCTCTCCCTGTGTTAAGTGTAACACCATTTCTATATCTGCTTTATGTACACCATCGATGGTATCATTTCTGTGTTGCCTGCTTCTTGGTATCTTTCTTTCCTTCCTTTCCCAGGCCTTACAGCCTAGTGCAGTGGAAGTAATAAGATTGATCCAGGTTAATTCTTTTTTTTTTCTTCCAATTTATTGTGGTAAAATACACATAACATGAAATTTAGCATCTTAACATTTTTCGTTTTGTTTTTTTGTTTTTTTATTTTGAGACAGAGTCTCACTCTCGTACAGGCTGGAGTGCAGTGGCTCCATATCAGTCCACTGCAACCTCTGCCTCCTGCCTTCAAGAGATTCTTGTTCCTCAGCCACCTGAGTAGCTAGGATTACAGGCATCTGCCACCACACCAGGCTAATTTTTGTATTTGTTTGTTGGTTTGTTTTTAGTAGAGATGTTGGCCAGGCTAGTCTCAAACTCCTGGTCCCAAGTGATCCACCTGCCTTGGCTTCCCAAAGTGCTGGGATTACAGGCTTGAGCCACCATGCGCAGCCATATCTTAATCATTTTTTTTTTTTTTTTGAGACAGTATTTTGCTCTTGTAACCCAGGCTGGAGTGCAAAGGCGCGATCTTGGCTTACCGCAGTCTCCGCCTCCTGGGTTCAAGCAATTCTCCTGCCTCAGCCTCCCAAGTAGCTGGGACTGCAGGTGTATGCCACCATGCCCAGCTAATTTTTGTATTTTTAGTAGAGACGGGGTTTCACCATGTTAACCTGGATGGTCTCAGTCTCTTGACTTCGTGATCCATCCACCTCGGCCTCCCAAAGTGCAGGCATTATAGGCGTGAGCCACTGCGCCTGGCCCTTAATCATTTTTAAGTGTACAGTTCAGTGGTATGAGGTACATTCACATTGTTATGCAACAATCCCCACCATCTCTCTCCAAAACTCTTATATCTTATAGCTTATAAAACTGAAACTCTATACCTGTTAAACCAGGGGTCCCCAACTTGCAGGCCACAGTGTGCAGCCTGTTAGGAACCAGGCCACACAGCAGGAGATGAGTGGCCGGTGAGTGAGCATTACTGCCTGAGCTCCGCCTGCTGTCAGATCAGCCATGGCATTAGATTCTCATAGGTGTGTGAACCCTGTTGTGAACTGTGCATGTAAGGGATCTGGGTTACATGCTCCTTATGGGACTCTGATGCCTGATGATCTTGAGGTGGAACAGTTTCATCCGAAACCATTTCCCACCCGTCTATGGAAAAGTTGTCTTCCGCGAAACTGGTCCCAGGTGCCAAAAAGGTTGGAGACTACTGCATTAAACAATAAATCCCCATTTCCTTCTTCCTTCCAGACTACAGCAACCACTAATCTACTTTTTGTCTCTATGATTTTGACTGCTCTAAATACTTCCTATGAAGTGCAATCACACAGTATTTGTCTTTTTGTGACTGGCTTATTTTACTTAGCATAGTATCTTCAAGGTTCATCTCTGTTGTAGCACGTGTCAGAATTTCCTTTTTTAAGGCCGAATGACAAGGAGGAAGTTACTTTTACCGTTTGTTTTCTGCAAGCCTTACAGCTACTTGCCCTTCATTTCCTGCATTATTATCTTCTTTTGTATTTAGCTGACTTTTTGTAGCAAACCATTTAAATTCTCATTTCCTTTTGTATATATTCTGCAGCTATTTTCTTTTAAGTGGTGTTACATTTAATATTCTTGTTAGAACACTTTCATTTGGATTTATATCAGCTTAACTTCAATATCATGCAATAGCTCCACTCCTTTCAACTGTTGATGTTACAAAATTACACCTTTATACATTGTGTGTTCAAACACATAAACCAATAATTTTAAAAATGCATTAATCTCTTAATATAAAAAACAAAATGTGAAGCTACAAACCAGTGTTAGAAAAAGAAAGTATTGGTTTCTTAAATAATGCAGAAAACAAAAAGTGGAGTTACAGATTTCTTACAAGAATATTAGCTTTTATAATTGTCCATGTATTTGCCCTTATTAAGATCTTTCTTCATATGCCTTCAGGTTCCTGTCTGGCGTCCCTTCTTTTCAACCTACAGGACTCCCTTTAGCATTTCTTGCAAGGGAGTTCTGGTGGTAACAAACTCCCTTAGCTTTTATCTGAGAATGTCTTAATTTCTCCCTCATTTCTGAAGGACAGTTTTGCCAGATAAAGGATTCTTAGTTGACAGTTCTTTTAGTATTTTAAAAGAAGTACTTTAAAGTACTAACGTACTTTCAGCCTCCAGTGTTTCTGGTGAGAAATGTTCTGATAATTTTTTTTTAAATCTCAAGATTCTCTTCGTCTTTTCTCCTGACCTTATGATCTGTCCGCCTAGGCCTCCTAAAGTGCTGGAATTACAGGCGTGAGTCACTGCACCCGGCAAACCATTATTTATTTATTTATTTTTAATATTCTGTCTGCCTCTTTCTCTTTTCTCCTTCAGGAACTCCCACAATGTGCATGCTGGCGTGTTTGATGGTCCCACAGGCCCATTACTCTTTGTTTACTTTTCTTTACCCCTTTTTTTTATGTACCTCAGACTCAATACTTTCCATTGTCCTGTCTTCAAGTTTGCTGATTTTTTCTTCTGCCTGCTCAAATCTGCTTTCAAATCCCTCTAGTGAATTTTTTATTTTTGTGGTTGTACTTTTCAGTTCCAAATTTTTTTGGTTCTTTTTTGGTTTTCTGTCTCTTATTGATATTTCCATTTTGTTCATACATTGTGTTCTTGACTTTCTCTATATCTTTAGTTCGTCCAGCATCTTTAAGATAGTTGTTTCAGAGTCTTTGTCTGGTAGATATGCCATCAGGTCTTTTTCAGGTACAGTTTCTGTTGATCTATTTTTTTTTCCTTTGAATGGATCATATCTTCTTGTTTCTCTGTATGCGTTTTGATTTTTTTAATTAAAAATTGGATATTTGAATCTAATAATGTGGTAACTCTGAAAATCAGATTTTCCCCTTTCCTTGGGATTTGCTGGGGGTTATTTATTTTTGTTTCTTGTTTCTTTTTTTTTTTTTAGACAGAGTGTCACTCTGTCATCTAGGCTGGAGTGCAGTGGCATGATCTTGGCTCACTGAAACCTCTACCTCCCAGGTTCAAATGATTCTCCTGCCTGAGCCTCCCAAGTAGCTGGGACTACAGGCATGTGTCACCACACCCAGCTACTTTTTTGTATTTTTAGTAGAGACAGGATTTCACTGTGTTAGCCAGGATGCTCTCAATCTTCTGACCTCATGATCTGCCCACCTTGGCCTCCCAAAGTGCTAGGATTACAGGCATGAGCCATGGCACCTGGCCTCTTTTTGTTTTGAGACAGTCTCACTGTCACCCAGGTTGGAGTACAGTGGCATAATCATGACTCATTGCAGCCTCTAACTCCTGGGCTCAGGTGATCCTCCTGCCTCAGGCTCCCCAGTAGCTGGACCTACAGGTGCATGCCAGCATACCTGGCTAATTTATTTGTTTTTTGATGGGTATAGACTGTCTTTGTGCTGAGGACCAACCTGAGATATAAACCTAAGGTCTTGGACCGTTTCTGAGTCTGTACTTTTTCCCGAATAAACATAGTAGCTTTCTCATTTCCCCAGTATATGTGGTTGCTTTTGAATATACAAGTCTTTAATATCTGGCTCCCAAGAAGGGAAAAAAAAATGATGGAAGGGAAAAAAGAGCACTGGCCATTTTAAACCCCTAGCAGTCACTTCAGTCAGAGGAGAACCAGTTTCTAACACTGGGGAAAACGTGTAAGACTGACTATCCACATCTTTCTCTGCCCTTCTGTACTAAGAGGCAGCAATGAGTAATCAGAGCACAGATCCCCAGTATTTGGAGGACAGGGTTCTTTTTGCCCACCTGGTTCTTGTAAGCTGTGTGCAAACTGCTCCAGAAGTAAGTGCACAGTTGCCTGCCACAGGGCTGGGGATGAGCTTCTGAGATGTTGTATATTCATGTCTTTTATGACTTTTGGGGAGTTTCCAGCCATTTTTTTTTTTAAACGGAGTCTTCCTCTGTCGCCCAGGATCTAGGTTGCGCACTCCTTATGAGAATGGGGGATGGGTAGCTGTTACTGTGCTAAGATCTGAAATAGACTAAAATTAACTGTAATTGACAGTACAGGCCTTTTCCTGGAAGTTGTGAGCCTTTGGTAGACTCCAGATTTCCAAGATAATTATATCAGACAGAGTCTGCCAGTGCAGTTGCCTAGGTGGGGAGAGAGATTCCTGGTGTTTCCTACTCTACTGTCTTCCCAGAATTTTCTCTGATCCATGTTAATTTTTGGCTGTCCTACTTTCTAGCAGTAAGAACCTCCATTTCCTCATCTATGAAATGGGCAAAATACTTGCTTAAGAGTTTTGGGAGGGTGAAATAAAGCCACATACATCTAGGACTTAGTACATTGCCTAGCATGCAGTAAAGATTATGCCTGTCTCCAACTGCATTTGGATAATCAGTAATTTTCTAGCTTTGTTCAGTCAGAATCCCATTATGTCTCATAATACCATTATGATGTCAAATGCTAGTGAAGAATACATTGTCCATGATTTGATAAATGGACCCTGGTAACAATGCTGTTTATCTTCATTATAATGAATTAAACCAAAAAAATCCTATGGAAGATTTCCCTAGGCCTTTACTATATACAACCATACATACTAAAGAGACTGCTTTAGTATCTACTACATGCTATGCTTTTTATTTAAATATTCTCTTGATATATTTGACCACAGGATGTTTATATTTTGAGGAAGAGGGGAAAATATTGGGAGGTGGTAAACCAGTGAAGAGTGCTTTTCAGAGCCAGATGCGGTGGCTCACATCTCTAATCCCAGCACTTTGGGACGCCGAGGTAGGCAGATTGCTTCAGCCTAGGAGTCTGAGACCAGCCTGGGCAACATGGTGAAACCTCATCGCTACAAGAATTAGCCTGTCAAAGGTGGTACACAGCTGTAGTCCCTATTACTCAGGAGGCTGAGGTAGGAGGATCCTTTTATGAGTTGTTGGCTGTGTTCATGTCAAAACATTCTATTGGGTTACTTTTTATTTTTTCTTCATTTTGAGACAGAGTCCTGCTTTGTAATCCAGGCTGTGATACAGTGGTGTGATCCTGGCTCACTTCAACCTCTGCCTCCCAAGTTCAAGCAATTCTCCTGCCTCTGCCTCCCAAATAGCTGGGATTACAGCCACCCACCACCATGACCAGCTAACTTTTTGTATTTTAGTAGAGACAGGGTTTTGCCATGTTGGCCAGGCTAATTTCGAACCCCTGACCTCAAGCGATCCACCTGCCGCAGCTTCCCAAAGTTCTGGGATTACAGGTGTGAGCTACCGCACCCGGCCTGGGTTACTTTCTGTAATTAACTCCGTTCTCTGCAAATTATATTGAAGATGTTTTATCCTAGTCTGAATTTTAACTTCGGTTGTAGTGCCTTTTGTTTAGTGTTCATGGAACTGATTTTTTTAATTAATTGTGTTTTATATCATGCATAGGAAGATACTTCAACCCTAATATTTTTTTAAAAGGTAGTAATTTCTAGTACCTTTATAATTTTGTGCTTTGTGTATAAATTGATTGTCTGACTAAAGTTTATTATTACATATGATGCAAAGTTTTTTTCCAAGTAGTTAATGATATCTCAATACTGATTTCCTGTAGAAACATGGGGATATTTTTGGATTCAATGCTCCGTTCTATTTATTTGTCTGTTTCTTTGCCCTAGGGTCATTCTCACTATATAAGTTGGCATTGCCACTAAAATACATTGTAGACTGCTTTATAGCAGGCTCCCCCCCACCCCAGGACACCACAGTAGGAGGCATTACCACCTGAGCTCTGCCTCCTATCAGATCAGCAGTGGGATCAGATTCCCATAGGAGCGCGAACTGCACATGGGAGGGATCTAAGTTGCGCACTCCTTTTGAGAACCTAACTAATGCCTGATGATCTGAGGTGGGATAGTTTCATCCCAAAACCATCCTTGCCCCTCCTTTCCCCATCGTGGAAAAATTGTCTTCCACAAAACTGGTCCCCGGTGCTAAAAAGGTTGGGGACCATTGCTTTATAGTTTATAAAAACACTTTTTAATGTTCCATTTTCTTTGATTCTTTGGCCAAACTGGAAAGACATTTAGGGCAAAGATGATGTTTGCGATTCATATGAATACTCTTAGAATTCTGACGCCCAAGGGCCAGGCGCTATGGTTCATGCTTGTAATCCCAGCACTTTGGGAGATTGAGGCAGGAGGATTGCTGGAGGCCAGGAGTTTGAGACCAGCCTGGGCAATGTGGCAAAATTGTCTCTACAAATATACAAAAATTATCAAGATGTGCACTATAAGTGCACAGCTGTAGTCCCAGCTACTCAGGAGGCTCTGGTGGGAGGATTGCATGAGCCCAGGAGGTCTAGACTGCAGTGATCTGTGATCACGCCACTGTACTTCAGCCTGGGCGACAGAGCAAGACCCTGTTTAAAAAAAAAATCTGAGACCCAAGCTCAGTTGCTGGTATATGGGGGTGGGTTGGGCAGTCAGTTCCTGCATCCACCCTCCTTAATCCCAGACCATTGACAGGAATAGAAACTGTGGTCCATAGAAACCAGTAACTACTCTTTTCTCTTGGAAATTATTAAATGAGTAGAATATACATTTATCTGTAGTTCCTACTCTTGCTGAGTGTAGTTCATGTTGAAGACTTCTGGGTGACAGATCCTTGGCAGAAAAAAGAAAATTTTAAAAAAAGACTTACATTGTGGGATTTCGTGTTTGCAGGATCCCTGTCCTAGTATCCTTACACAATGTGGTTTACTCTCTGTCTTATATGCCAACATCCTAGAAACACTTAAATTCATCTGCAAATTAGCAGAGTAAACATGACGTAGGAGGAAGGGAACTAATATCATTTAAGGGCTTCTTCATGGCAGATGCTCATATAAGTACTTGGGTCACTGCACTTGGTCTGCTCAGTGACCCTGTGAGATAGACAGTTTTCCCATTGAAAGCTGGGAGAGGTTAAAGAATTTTTCCAGGCTCATACAACTAGCCTATGAAAGAATAACCCATTATCCTGTTAGTCTATTTTCTGATTTCCATATACATCATTCACGTTATGATTTGGGACGTTGTGACTTTTTAGGCACACTCAAAATGAATTAAAATTAAAATATATTTTCTCTGTTCTTTTAAGGTTACGCAGATATAAAGTCCTAGGGAGTAGTAACTCTGACTCAGACCTTTTCTCCCGCCTGGCCCAAATTCTTCAAAATGGATCTCAGAAACCCCGGAGCACTACTCAGTGCAAGAGTCCAGGATCTCCTCACAACCCCAAAACACCACCCAAGAGTCCAGTTGTCCCTCGCAGGAGTCCCAGTGCCTCTCCTCGAAGCTCATCCTTGCCTCGCACGTCTAGTTCCTCACCATCTAGGGCTGGACGGCCCCACCATGACCAGAGGAGTTCATCCCCACATCTGGGGAGAAGCAAGTCACCTCCCAGCCACTCAGGATCTTCATCCTCCAGGAGGTCCTGCCAACAGGAGCATTGCAAACCCAGCAAGAATGGCCTGAAAGGATCTGGCAGCCTCCACCACCACTCAGCCAACACTAAAACCACCCCAGGGAAAAGTAAGCCAGCCAGTAAACTCAGCAGATAGGAGCCAGGCTGCATCTCTTTGAAAGGTGTGAGATCTTCCTCCTAACCCTGATGCATGTGTGTCCCTGTACTGTCTGTTTAAAAAAATCAGTGTTGATCTTCTCTTGCAAAAGAAAGTAACATGATCATTATTTATAAGAAGACATAAATACATGATAAGGAATTACCTAAGGCAGGCAGCAAGCAGATCAGGAATCAATGTCTTTGTACAAAAAATAGAGCAAAAATCCAAGGGGGAGAAACTCATTAAAATGAGCTCTCATTTTTAAGCTGCCTTTGAAACAAAAGAGTTGAGGACAGGAGACAGAATGGAATTTTAGGGAGTTTGCCTGATTTATTTAAGCTTCACCTCAAAGATTAAATAGCAAAAGTGAAACTTCTTGTTTGATATTTTCATTCAAAACTTTCCCACCCTGCAGAGTCATTGATCAGATACTGTATTATGTAAGAAGTCTGTTGCCAGGGAGCCAGTACCGTATATTTGGCATGTGTGTTTATTTTGTGTATTGAGAATGAGCACCTTTACTTTGCCTCATTTCTAGTACCCTCCCTGGACTTCAGATTTTTTTTAAGTTTAGTATGTCTTATTTGATTCAGTCTTTCTGCTTTTATTTTATGGTCCTAATTGTACTTTCAAATCCAATTCCTTTTTTTTAGTTCCCTGATTTTTTTTTTAGAGCAACAGTTCTTAACTTACTATGTTTTTATTATGAAAAATAAGAAACTTAGGTAAAGGAAAGAAAAGTCTAACTAGAGCTACTTTGCAGGATTTAGTGTTTAGGGAGAGAAAGAAAATGTGGGGGAATAGCCTTCAAGATAGAAGAACCCCCTTCCTCCCTGTTAAGTGTCCTCCTTTAGAAACTTGAGTAGAAAGAAAACTGACCAGAGTAGACTGCTTCCTTAAGTCTTCTGAGTTCCAGCTGTTTCTAATATCAGCCTCCAAGATGATACTAGGGAAGCACAATGCTTTGGAATATGACTTGAGATTTAGAAATAAATTAGATGTATTACTGAGGCTTAGAATCCTCAAACTTTGTATTTTATACATTTAGCCAATAAGGAATTAATATCTGGGGAAATAAATTTAGGCTAAATATTTCTCTTTTAATGTTTTATTACCTGCTTCTCCTGTGTTTTAGTTCAATATTTGGGCTTCTTGGCCTGATTTTCATATAATCTCAATTTATGAAGCTGTAAAGACGAAGATACTTGTTCTAATCTCACTCTTCTAACAGGAATCAGGCAAAATGAAAGTATACCAGACATTTTAAATGGGCTCTTTTATACTCTCTAGGTGTTTTGTGTTGTAAAAGGTCAGGTAAATTGGTCTGCTTGTTGTAGAAATTTGCCTTCTAGCAAACATCTGTGCTTTGTTTGACCTTGTATTTGCTGCCAAACCCGATATGGTTGAATTGGGAAACAAACAAAAAAAGAAATACATTTCCTCCCCCCAAGTGAACATCTTCTAATGCTGCATCAAAGCTGCCCTGAAGCTGCACTGAACTTCTCTTGTTCTCTTTATCTGTGTTGAGCTTTTTAAAAAAACAAACTCAAAACACTACTGAGGCATATAACGTCTCTTAAAAGAAATGTAGCATAGTATGGAATCTTAATTTCTCTCCAGTTTCAAACACTACAGAGGGATGCAATAGATAAGACATATTTGCTGTTTATCTGAAGCAACTGTAATATTGGAAGACCAATCCTTCTGTATTATATTGTATAATAGTTGCTGTAACACTACTTGCATGTCTTCATGATAAATTATATAAATATTTATAAATATATAGAGAGACATATGCTTATATAGACTCATTCTTTCTCATTCTCCATTTGTAATTTAAAGATCACAGATGCTGAAATTCCTTTTCTATTGTGTGCCTCATGTACACTTGGGCCTTGCCTATCTTCATTTTCTGAAAATATGTTCTTGGCATGTGACACCTCAGAGTCTTCTTGCCTTCCCTATGTACAATCCAAGGATTGGCAGTCTTTAACAAGCCAAGATAGGTTATTTAATTTTCATTTTAAAAATATTTTGTAATAGGGAAAAAATTATGGGGACATGCTTGTGTACTGGTTCAAAGATTTGTCATGTTAATCACATATTTCTCTCCTTATAGTAAGAGTGGATAAACTGGATGATAATGATGAGTCTGACAGATTTTTAAAACATCTCTTAAACATTGCCATTCTTTGCTTATATCCATTACTGGAGATAGTAAAAAAAAAAAAAAAAAAAAAATTGCCATTCTACTTTGCTCTTTTCATCTCACTTTTTTGGCAGGAGGGTTGGGGGATAATGAAGAAATTATACTTTTTCTGTTGCATTAGCAAAATTGTGCTAAAAGTAGCTAGCTTTAAATCCCAACCCCTTTAGTCAGAAATATGGTAGTAGTAATCATTGGAAAAGCTGATGAGGCTGTGACTGTGGTACATGTATGTGATTTTATTTCTTATTGGCATTTCTCTGCTGGCAGTTGAAACTGACAGTGAGAATGTAGCAACTGAATTTTTTCTCTCTTTCTTGATTCCTTCCATTTTTTCCCAACCTTTCCAGTGTGTTGCCCCCTTTTCTAAATGGTGTGGACAAACTCATCAGGATCCAGAGATAAACAGTCTCATCATGCAAGAATATTTTATACTGCATGTAGAGCAAAGAGTTAACCAAAGATGTTTCTGCTCTGATACTTTCAAAAGAAAACAGACTAATTGTATCATAGGTAGTATCAATAGGCCTGCTTATAAGTACTGTCCTATGTAGAGATTTACTTTTTGGTTTTTACAAGCATAGTTTGTGCTTTTAGATGTTAGATGTCTCTCAGGCGAAAAACAGAAGTTGACAGCCCTGAGCAAGCATTTGTGACACAGGGATTTCTATTTTTGTTTTAAAGTATGATACAGAGAATGGAGTTTTGTGGTCGATTTGGTTTGGTTGTGTTTTTTAGTTCTTTATTTTTTATTTGGGGTCTTTCTTAGTGATGGCATATTTCAGGTTTCAGTGACATAGATCAAGTAATTTTAAACCAGTTTGGTTTTTCTACCTAAGATGAGGGATATGGCTATTAAGGTGAGGCCAAACTATACTAAAAGTAGTATAGGGTAGAGTTAAAATTACCTTTTGAAAATCAGGTATTACCTGGTTTCTTCTGTCACAGCAGAATAGCTGGTTACCTAGAGTCAGTCACAGTTGCCCTCACCCTCCCTCGTCTAGTCCCTGGAAGTACTTGAGTTGAACAGAAGGTAGAAATAGCAATAGCTCAATCATTTTACGTAGCACTTCTCCTGAATTCTTCTACCAAGTCCCCAGGGTCTGTGGATTGGTTGAAACAGTAAAATCATACATAGTGATTTCTTGCACAGCATAGAGGCATTTAATTTTAGTGTGTAGTGAACAGAGAAGGAAAACTGGGTCATATAAAATTTAACCTTAAAACACAGATTATACATATCTTTGAATGTTAAACCCTAGGCAGACAGGCACTCCTATTCTTAACTCTGGTATGCAAGCTGGCCTTGCTGACAATGGCATCATTACAGTTACTGTTTTTTAAGTGCATATTGTGATGTGAATATTTTTTGTAAAAGTTGCCAAGTTAATTGACTACTAAATAAGTAGCAAAATGGTATCTGAGACCCACTGTAGTCATTACTCACTTTATGTTATTTGCTTTCAAATACTAAAATCTCAGCTGCTAATTCAGCTTTCAAGATGTGCAGTATCTCCTTCTCTTAGCTCCTAGCCATGTTGGGAACTTGAGGTTCTTCAGTGTCATCAGAGATTCCTTCCAGGCCACATATTTTATGCTAATATTTCCATAGTTGCATTCAATCTATAAGGAAAAAGTGTACATTGGTGCATGTTTTATAAACCCAGACACACAGATAGCTAAAACCATAATTTTTCTATACTCGAGAGCTTTGAATTAAAAACAGATGCTTTTTTTCCCCAAGAGCAGACAATTCTACATTCCTAACATAACATTAGGAATTGGTGATAGGAGAAGCAAGATCCAGAATGCAGAACGATTTAGTGAGACTTAGGAAAAAAACGCATTTTCCCCCGGTTGTTGGAACATTTATTTATTTGTAGGTAAGTCTAGATTTAGTCTTGAAGATCAAAGTTTTTTTGTATTTAAAAACTTCTTTCATTCCTTTATATTGATAAAAATATGGCCTATGTTAGAGAACCATTTTTTCTGTCATGTTTATGTATTTTGGAATTAAGTTGTTTACATTCACTTTGAAAATTTGCCCATTTTTGTTTATGTGCACTTGCCACAGATGTGTCCGGACTTTGCCTAAGGGGAGAGATACTTTAGCACCTGTGTAACCTGAGGAGATGGAGTGCTTGATGAGTACTCTTGCGCTGTGTAACTTGGGGTTTCATTCTGTAGACAATATGTTAGCAGAATAACTACTTCTCGATGATACCACACAAAAGTATTACAGGATTAAGGCATGTAACTTCTATGGTAGTCCTTATGTATCAGTATATAACCAAGTTCAGAAACCACAGGTGCATTTTTAGACCTTTACTTAGAGAACTAAAGGCAGTTCCAAGCATCAGCTCATATGGGGGGATTAATGCATGAAAACCCTAAGAGGGTGTGTCGGGACATCATACTTCCCTGTCCTCACCCAGTAAAACTCTGGTGTGTGTCTTGAGGATAAGGAAGTAGAGTGGAAACTCATCATATCATTGAGTATATTCTCAGTATTTTGGCCTTCCCTCTGGAATTAAGAGGAATTTAGCAAAGTTTCAGAAACCTTCAGAATCCATTGCCCAACACTACCAGAAAAACTGTAGGAGGCACATGGGGAATTCCTATAGTTCTTAGGTACGTTCAAGACACGGGACAAGGATCCCTATCCACAGAAAGGGGAATCTGGACGCTGCACACCTCACTCTCTGAAAAATCCCTGGCTGAACATGGAATTATGACAGTAAAGTTTTGGCCCTTTAGTTTGCTAGAACAGCTCACAGAAATTTTAAAAAGTAAAACAAAAATAAAGTGCATGCCCATTAAGCCGTCTTCTAATTCAGTTGTGATTATCTGCTCCTTCTTTAAAAAATGTGTAAGCTTGATGTTTATTCCCTTTCAGCAAATTTGGATCAGAAAATTAAAGTATGTGACAAGATCAGGTCACCTTGAATTTCCATACAATCTCAAGACATTGAATAGAAAAAAAAATGCAGTAATGATTTGCATATTTTCTCAGACTTTGCTGGATGTTTGGTCTTAAGTTAACAGGTAAAATTAGTGAAGCCTTTCCTCTCATCGCCCTGTGCTATTTAACAGTTTCTCCCTCCTCTTTGGCTGGAAGTGTTAGTGATAGCATGGGCACAGAGTGTATGTCCACTGGTGATGCTGACCATGTCTCCCAGGTACCCTGGCTCTGGGCTCCTTGACCTAGGGAACAAGTTTGGATGAGACATATCTTTGAGCCCATGTGACTATAGAATTTGCTGATAATTTTACGGTAACAATGGATAGGAATTTTACCTCTCTTTTTAGTAGTTTAATATTGTTTCGTATTATTTACTTAAGTGTTCACTCACCTAATTAAAAACTTTGAGTAAACAAACCAAGTTTTTACATAAACTACCCTTGCCATATGATGCTCTTTTTCTCTTATAATATGCAGTTTAAATCCTGAGAAATTCATGCCCAGCATTTGACCACAACTGGACTCTGTGGGTATTCTTCACTCACCTACAAGGAGTAAACAAGGCTACCAGAACTTGAATTTGACTTATTTTAGGGAGCTACCCAGGGAGGGGAAAGCCCTTGGGACTTTTTCCAAAACAATCTCTTTGCTTTATTCACCAGATAAAGTAGTCCACTAAGGTGAAAAAGCTTTCAAAAATAAAAAGATAATGCCTGTAATCCCAGCACTTTGGGAGGCCGAGGTGGGCGGATCATGAGGTCAAGAGATCGAGACCATCCTGACCAACACGGTGAAACCCCGTCTCTACTAAAAATTACAAAAATTAGCTGGGCGTGGTGGTGTGCACCTGTAGTCCCAGCTACTTGGGAGGCTAAGGCAGGAGAATTGTTTGAACCCAAGAGGCAGACATTGCAGTGAGCCGAGATTGCACCACTGCACTCCAGCCTGGCACCTGGCGACAGAGTGAGACTGTCTCAAATTAAAAAACAAAACAACAACAACAACAACAAAACAAAGGAAGATAAAGGAAATATAACACTGGCCCACTTGGGGCTTTGAAATTAGATTGAGTAGACTGAATAAATGAAGCCTAGATGACCTGGGCTTGAGCCCCGCTTACTTCTCCCTGATACGTAGTTCCTTTTCCCCTTTCTGACCCTTTTTCTAAAATAGCCAGTGTCTATTTCACTGGGCCATTTACTTACAAGTTCCCAGCTTTTCGGAGAAAAAGAGGGAGGGGGGAGCAGCTAGTTTTGAATTAGATAAAAACATCTTGAAAGTAATGAGCTATTGGCAGCTGTTAAATCAGCTGTTAAATCAGATTCAGGCGCAAACCACAATTCTTTCTTGTTGAACAAGACCACTGAGTTAGAATAGATGACTTTAACAATTCTACTTTTCTCTCCCTATCTTCTCCTCTTTCTGAAATCAGAGAGATGAGAAACTACTCTTTGAAATAACTCCAGAGGTGTTTTATTGTGTCCCTTTCCCCTACGAGCAGCTCCTTTATGCAATTTTGCTCAGGCAACCAAGGACAGAGTATTGGCAGAAACATGGAGTGCTTTTGTATAGGCCACCTGTACATAAAAGTGTAATTATTTATTTAATTTTCCCATTTGTATCATATTAAAGCTTTGTACAGTGTTTTAAGTTCTGTTTTAAAATTATTTTGTATTTTATTTTTATAACCTAGTAATAAAATATTCATTCCGCATGCAAAATCTAGTTCTATGTGTGTGATGGTTTGGATTTCAAAAGTGGAAATATTATTTTTCTAATTTAATAAAGTTATTGAATACACCAGAGGTTACAAGATCAACTGGGAGGTGACAGTGTTACTGTAAATGCAGTACCACATCCAAGGTTCCCTAAAAAAAGCAGCCCAGGACTGAATAGAAACTAAGTGTTCATTGTCCCTGCAGGTGAAAACCAGGGTTTGAGGATATTAGGAGATGTTTCCCCATAATAAAATCAAAATGCTAAAAGCTCCGTTTTAGTCCATTATTCTGTCTGGCTGGAGGTACTTTTTCCTTCTCCATAGGAAACAACCCTTCTACCACTAGAGAAATTCCTGCACCCCACCCTCATCTTTCTGCCTGTAACCTTCCTTTGAACCAGAGGAACTCTCAGGAGGCATTCACAAGGGCACTGCCTCACCGCTCTTGGTTTGGTTTGACCTGGAATGATAGGGCAGCAACATCCAAAATGCTCTCTCATGTTTCTTTAAATAAAGGAGATTAAGGAATTACTCAGGCTGGGCATGGTGGCTCATGCCTGTAATTCCAGTACTTTTGATCTGCCGCCCGCTCCCTGCCAAAACATTAGCTGGGCTGCAGCCCTAGGGAGGCTGAGGCAGGAGGATCGCTTGAGCCCAGGAGGCGGAGGCTGCAGTGAGCCTTTCTGACGCCATTGCACTCCAGCCTGGGCAACAGAGCAACACCCTGTCTCAAAAAAAACAAAAAAGCAAAACAAAACCTCGAGCTCCCAGAAGCTAATCATATGCGTACTGACATCTCAACTGCAAAGTAGTTGAAATATTAACCTCACATAAATCCATTTAAGTAAATAAAACTACAAACAAGCAATTACGTGTGCACGGTGGCCGGAGGCACTTTAAGGGTTGTGGCCTGGGGATTATTAAAAACCTAGAAGTAATTAATTGTCTTCAATGGTCAATTAGCTGATGGTGAACGCTGAAAAGCCGATGAGTAGTGCTCGGCCAAGGGATTTAAAAATTGGCTTTTAAGAAAAAGTCAAAATGAAAGATTAGATTAACTTTATAATTTCTCTGGGGTGGTGCCAGTTGGACCTAGAAAACAAACTCTTGGAAGAACGTGCTTAGAGCAGAAGATAGGCTGGTGGCTGGCTCTGTTCCCCTCCACCAACGTCTCTCCCGGATCCTCCGTCTCCCCAGAGGGGCGTCTGTTCCGCGGCAACCCCACTCCCAGCTTGAATCCCTTCCTCAGATCGTTCATCGGGCCAGTACAGGCAGCCAAGGCGGGCCTCACCACGGGCTGTGATCTGCACTTCACCTCCCAACAACCGGCCTGTTGGCGGGGGCTGAGGACCCAACGAGGCCTTGACTAGGGGCCTGGGCAATAGCCGGCTCCGTCCCGCCCCGCTGGCCCCTCCCCTCCCCGCTAGCCCCTCCCCGCCCTGCTAGCCTCGTCCCTCCCCGCCTCGCGAAACCAACTGCCGTTCCCCGCTGCTCGCCCCGCCCCTCCCTGGCCTTCCGTGGCGCGCCTGCGCCTGCGCAGTCGCCCTACAGCGCCCAGACCGGGATGGCGGCGGTTTTGGAGTCGCTGCTGCGAGAAGAGGTGTCGGTCGCAGCCGTCGTGCGGTGGATCGCATGCAGCACCCAGGGTTCGAAGGTAACAGCGCTGACACGCCCCCAGGCCTGACCCGAAGCCGGTTCCCGCGGTGGAGTCCAGCCCTCCAGTTCCCTTCCTCTAGGACGCCTGACTACCAGCCGGGCCGAGTGCGCTCCAACTGGGCGCCGCTGCCTGGGCCGCCCACCCGAGGCATGCCCAGCGACCGTGGCTGCTGACGGCCCCTGGCCGGCGGCTGACCCTCTCGCCCCTCGACCTGTGCTTCTGCCCTAGGATAACCCCGGGGAGGCGGCCGCGCTGAGCTCACTCCGGCCCCTGCGGAAAGAATTCGTACCGTTCCTGTTGAACTTCCTGAGGGAGCAGAGCAGCCGCGTCCTCCCGCAGGGGCCCCCGACCCCCGCCAAGGCCCCGGGCGCCTCGACAGCCTTGCCAGGGAGGCCGGGAGGCCCGCCGCGGGGCAGCCGCGGGGCGCGCAGCCAGCTTTTTCCTCCGACCGAGGCCCTAAGCACCGCCGCGGAGTCCCCTGTGGCTCGCCGCGGGGGCAGGAGGCGGGTCCCGGGGCCGGTCCGGGAGCGTGGAGGCCGCAGCCTGGAGGAGGGGGTCAGCGGGGAGAGCCTGCCCGGAGCCGGGAGCCGGAGGCTTAGAGGCTCTGGCAGCCCCAGCCGCCCCAGCCTCACGGTCTCTGATCCACCAAACCTCAGCAACCTGGAGGAGTTCCCTCCCGTAGGCTCGGTGCCCCCTGGCCCTACAGGGTGAGACTCGGCTCTCATGCAGGAGATGAGTAGTACGAAGGCTCTGGGGAGTCAGTCAATCAGGGCTCGGCGCTCCGCAATGTAGCACGAGGATGGTTAGAAGGCTGGGGGTGATGTTGAGGGGTTTTGGGTTTTTTTTTTTTTTTTTTTTTTTGGCAAGAGGTCTAGCTGTTGCGGTGGTGGAGGGGAGATGTTTGAAGATAGGAATTTGAGAAAAACCTGTGGCTACTCAGCAGGACGAAGCCTTCTCGCAGGATCAACCCAACTCCGGTGAGCGAAGAGCGGTCACTCTCCAAGCCCAAGACCTGCTTCACCTCACCCCCAATCAGCTGTGTCCCCAGTTCCCAACCCTCAGCCCTGGACACTCGCCCTTGGGGCCTTGGCCTTCCCCCAGGGTGCAGAAGTCTGCAAGAGGAGCGGGAGATGCTCAGGAAGGAGCGGTATGGCCTGGCCGCTCCTGGGGATGTCGGCTTCCTCCCTGTGGGGGATTTTCAGGGCTTTTCCCTGAAATTAATTTCCCTCTTGGGCATTCTGGGTTTGTCTCTTGGGCTCTTGGTATCTACTCTGGAGGGACCTGAGTGTGGCTGTGGCAGGGAAGCTAAGCTGACTGCTGATGAAATTTATTCATCCCCATAGCTCTAAACAGCTGCAGCAGTCACCTACCCCCACCTGTCCCACCCCAGAATTGGGGTCACCCCTCCCCAGCCGGACAGGAGGCCTCACAGATGAACCTGCGGACCCTGCCAGAGTGTCTTCCCGCCAGCGCCTGGAGCTGGTAGCCCTTGTTTACTCCTCGTGCATTGCGGGTGAGTGAGAGCATGGGGAGATGGAGTGGAGATACTTGTAGAACTGCTGGGTAAGAGAATTGATAAGGCACCTAGAACTGAGCCTCGGCTGTGAATGGTGCCCCATACCATGGGATTTCTTTTTGTATCTATCTAGAGAACCTCGTACCAAACCTCTTCTTGGAGCTTTTCTTCGTCTTTCAGCTCCTCACTGCCCGGAGGATGGTGACTGCCAAGGACAATGACTTTGAACTAAGTCCTGGTGCCCTAGGTCAGTGAGCAAGCCTTCTTTTGAGACGTGGGGTCTAGAAATGGGACCCTTCTTAACTGACAGCTTGGTACTGTCCTTCTAGATAACCTGGAAAGTCCGCTGTTCCAAAGCATCCATGATTGTGTCTTCTTTGCAGTGCAGGTTTTGGAGTGTCACTTTCAGTGAGTTTCCCCGGCTGAGGCATTTGGGCCTCATTGTCATCATCTGCTTAGTTCTCTGGCTGCCTGGGATGTATGCTGGTGCTTAACACAGGACAGTGGCCCTTCTCCTACCTGTAACCTTTAACTTTCTGTTAAGGCTATGAATGCGGTCCTTAAAAGAATGAAACAGGGCCAGGTGTGGTGGATCAGGCCTGCATTCCCGCCACTTTGGGAGGCTGAGGCAGGATAGTGGCTTAAGCTGAGGAGTTTGAGACCAGCCTGCGCAACATGACAAAATCCTATCTCTACTACAAAAAAAAAAAAAAAAAAAAAAGCCAGGTGTGGTAGAATTCTAGCCAGTAGCTAGAATACCAGCTACTCAGGAGGCTGAGGTGGGAGGATCACCTAAGCCTAGGAGGTCCAGGCTGTAGTGAGATCATGCCACTGCAGCCCAGCCTGGGTGACAGAGGCCCCATCTCAAAAAAAAAAAAAAAAAAAAAAAAAATAGATAGGGACCTCTTTGGTGTTAGCAGCTGAGCTTTTTGGGTTTCTAGTAATGTTCCTGTCCTGTTGTCTTGGTCCCTGTTCTGTAAAGTCTCATATCCTCCCCTTTACTTTCATTGTCTTTGATCCTTGGCCCGTGATCTTGCAGTACATAACTGGGCTTGCATACCTGTGCCATGGTTTGGAGATGCTCTGTGTGGTGTGCAAGTGCTTGCTTGCTACTTGCAGTCTGTGTTCCGGTCTCAGTCATAGGTGCTCTTGTCCCTGCAGGGTTCTTTCCAACCTGGACAAAGGGACCTTGAAGCTGCTGGCTGAGAATGAGCGGCTGCTGTGCTTCTCACCAGCTCTGCAAGGCCGCCTTCGAGCTGCCTATGAGGGCAGTGTTGCCAAGGTAGTAACCCCAGCTTAGATGCCCACTGGCCTGGACCTGACCCTTGCTAGCTTACATAAAGTCCCGCAACCCTGCTGACGACACTTAAGTGTAATGTGAGCTAACTCTGGGTGAGAATAAGAGGGACAAGTTTTCTCAGCATGACCCTGCAGTTCCTAATGTTCCTGCTGTATTTTAGGTCTCTCTGGTGATGCCACCCTCTGCTCAGGCTGTCTCCTTTCAGCCAGAGACTGACAATCGTGCCAACTTCTCCAGTGACCGAGCCTTTCATACTTTTAAAAAACAGAGGTGATAAGAAAAGGGACTTTTAGGGGAGGAAATGAGATGACATTTTTCTGGACTAGGCAGCTGTTTTGGTTTCATAAAAATTAGGAGTTTAGCACTAACAGGTGGTGGGTTAGTCCTCCCACGTCCTTCCTGCCGGCCATCATAGGGGCCACTTGGCTTCATTCTGTTGTGCACCTGTGGACCTAAGCCCTAGTGCTTAGCCAGCCATGTCACAGGTGTATGGCTTTAGTCTCAGAGTTCTCAGGCAAGAGTGTGCCAGGGTGAACTGCCCACAGAAGCACATGAAGCCTGTAGTATGCTGCTGCTGGTCTGTAGCGCTGTTATGTAGAGAATTCTGGAGAGATTAAAAAATGGGGCTGCTGGCCAAGCCCAGTGGCTTACGCCTGTGATCCCAGTACTTTGGGAGGTCGAGGCAGGCGAGTCATCTGAGGTTAGGAGTTCAAGACCAGCCTGGCCAACATGGTGAAACCCCATATGTACTAAAAATACAAAAATTACCTGGGTGTGGTGGTGGACACCTATAATCCCTCCCAGCTATTCCGGAGACTGAGGCAGGAGAGTCGCTTGGTGGGGGAGGGTCAGAGGTTGCAGTGAGCCCAGAATTTCGTCATTGCACTCTAGCCTGAGCGACAGGAGCAAGACTCCATCTCCAAAAACAAAACAAAAAATGGAGCTGTAGATAGTCCTGTCCTCAGTTCTTCCGGGGGGGGGGGGAAGGCACTTGTGGGAGTGAGTGCCTCAGCTGATCAGGCATTCTTATACGTCAGGGATGTGTTTTATGAGGTGCTGCGAGAGTGGGAAGATCACCATGAGGAGCCTGGCTGGGATTTTGAGAAGGGCTTGGGCAGCAGAATCAGGTGGGTGCTCAGACCTTGTCTTTCTTGTGCCTGGCAGTGAGTAGCTCAGTGCCGCTTGGGGAACTGATGGAGGAGGGAAGACTTTCCCCGGCTCCTTCCAGCCCTTAGCTGTTCTCTTCTATCATCTGAAATATCTTTAGTTACTGATAACTCTGCTCCTACTCGAAAGGGATGTGTCTCAAGCTCTTTTCATTCAAAAATGCCTTATCCTGGCCGGGCGCGGTGGCTCAAGCCTGTAATCCCAGCACTTTGGGAGGCCGAGGCGGGTGGATCATGAGGTCAACAGATCGAGACCATCTGGTCAACATGGTGAAACCCCGTCTCTACTAAAAATACAAAACATTAGCTGGGCATGGTGGCGCGTGCCTGTAATCCCAGCTACTGAGGAGGTTGAGGCAGGAGAATTGCCTGAACCCAGGAGGCGGAGGTTGCGGTGAGCCGAGATCGCGCCATTGCACTCCAGCCTGGGTAACAAGAGTGAAACTCCATCTCAAAAAAAAAAAAAAAAAAAAAAAAAAAAAATGCCTTATCCTTGTTCTGTAGTGGCAAATGCTTGGAAAAAGTCCAAAGCTCTTAGCCCAGGCTGCTGGAGTTTTTTTGGCCCAAGCCACTGGTTAGACGCATCTAGCCTCCATTTTCTCCATTCTCTAGTTTGGGCAAGTCTGGTCACTGTAGGTAGATGCCTGGGCTCGGAATGCCTACCTCAGTCCAGTGAGCTCCCTTCACATCGGTCATGAGACTCGCCGCCTGTCAGTGTGGCTGAAGACAGGAGGGCTGGCGTGATATCTTTATTAAGTGCACCTCTAGCCTCGGGGGAACTTGGTGCTGAGGGAGTGTCCCTTACCTTCAATGTCCCTGTGTAGGCTGGCTCAAGTCCCTGCTAAAGGGCTGGGAAGCCCAAGTGTTGACTACTTCTCTCATCTTTCTTCCTCTCTCCCCTCTCTATACCATTCATTCCTGCCCTCTGTTCCTCAGAGCCATGATGGGTCAGCTCTCTGCAGCCTGCAGCCACAGCCACTTTGTTCGACTTTTCCAAAAACAACTACTGCAGGTAACAGCCCCAGCAAGAGATTAATCCACATTAAACAACAGGTATCAGAGGCAGCCACATAACGACTGCACTTCAGGATAGGGCAGACAGCCAGGCATGTTCTGGGCTGGAATTTGAACAAGAGTGCTAGTCTTTGGTGGGGTGGCTGAAACTTGCGTGGCCAAAGAAAAGCCAGGGCACTCTCTGACATGCCCTGGACCCTGTATCTCCCCCAGCCTGCTGCTGCTGCTTTCCCTCTGATTTGTGCTGTGGTAAGGAGCCCAGGCTTAGTAAGTAGTCAAGCTTAGTTTCAGATCCTAGCTCTAGTGACCCTAGGCACATGCTTAACCTTGCAGTTTCAGTTTCTTCACCTGTGAAACAATCCTGTAATTCACACCTCAGAAAAGCTATCTAAAGTGCTTGACACAGTTGGCATTCCTTAAATGTTGATTACTTTCTCCTTATTTTGTTCAGTCCTTCCCTCCCACTTACTAATTTTTTAATTTCTCTCCTTTCTTTCCCACCCGAGATGTGTCAGAGCCCTGGCGGTGCTGGGGGCACTGTCTTGGGCGAGGCCCCAGATGTGTTGAGTATGCTGGGAGCTGACAAGCTGGGGCGGTTGTGGCGCCTACAGGAACGGCTTGTGACCCCTCAGAGCAGTGGGGGGCCCTGCCCACCCCCCACCTTCCCAGGCTGTCAAGGCTTCTTCAGGGACTTCATCCTTAGTGCCAGCAGGTAGGCTCCCCTGTGTCTTACAAGGAATGGGGCAGAGGCCAGGAAAGGTGTGGCTTCTCAAAAGGGTAAAAGGGTAAACAGTCTCCTTTGCCTGGAATATAACAGAATAGGCTCCTTCCAGTTTGTACTTGCTGGCATCATTGCACTTCTCATTCTGTCACCCACACGGGTGATTTTGTTGTTCCTCAGCTTCCCTTTCTGTCCTGCTCCTTTCCCTCTGCAGTGCCCCTTGATTCTGCCTCTTCCTGCACCTCTTCCAGTGCTTATGCCCCACCCATCCCTTCTCAGCTTCCAGTTTAACCAGCATCTCATGGACAGTCTGAGCTTGAAGATCCGGGAGCTCAATGGCCTCGCCCTGCCCCAGCATGAGCCCAGTGATGAAGATGGGGAGTCAGATGTAGACTGGCAGGTCCGAAAACAGAACAAGGAAAATAACGGGGTCGGACCCAGGAGGGAAGGGAGTATGTTCAAGAAAAAATTGTTCTGGAAGCCTCACGCTTGGACTTTTTACTTCCCTTGATTCAATGCAGGGTGAACGGAGGCAATTTGCTGTGGTGCTTCTTAGCCTGAGGCTTTTGGCCAAATTCCTGGGCTTTGTGGCTTTCCTGCCATACCGGGGGCCTGAACCTCCCCCGACCGGTGAGCTTCAGGACTCCATTCTGGCCCTCAGGAGCCAGGTGAATGGGCGGGGGATTCTGGTGAGGAGGGAGCAGGGAGGACTAGTCAGGCACTGAGGCTCACTGGTTTCCTTGGCTATTCTGGAAGCCAGGCAGTTTAGAGAGCATCTCCCAGCACTTCTCAGGGACCTGCCCTCTGACTGAGCTCTGGCCCTCCCAGGTCCCTCCGGTCCTGGATGTACGGACTCTGCTGCAGCAAGGGCTGCAGGCCCGCCGGGCGGTGCTCACCGTGCCCTGGCTGGTGGAGTTCCTGTCCTTTGCTGACCATGTTGTTCCCTTGCTGGACTATTACCGGGGCATCTTCACTCTGCTGCTGCGCCTGCACCGGTGAGTGGAGCAAGGCTAAGGCTTGACGAAAGGATTCCAGAGTGGGGGACATTGGTCAAGCCTGTTATTCATAAAGAGGGTTGAGGAGTTAGCATTGTGTGTGTGGGGCCCTGGCCATAAGTGAGCCCTAGAAGAAGCAGAATTGGCTTCCCAGAGATAGACAGTGGGAAATCATCTGCACTTTCATTGGCCTCGTGCTGTTCCTGAGGTGGCCTCACTGAGATGTTCCGGATGCAGGAGGGGAGGCTGGGGAGATCCTGATTGCTGACATGGCCCCAGTCCCTTTTAGGTCTGTTTTTGTGAGCCAGCCTCCAGTGACAGCTTTTGCTGCCTCTTGTTCTTTTGCCCTTTCTGCTCAAACCAGTGTACTGTCCATTGACGTTTCAGGAGCTTGGTGTTGTCACAGGATAATGAGGGGAAGATGTGTTTTCTGAACAAGCTGCTGCTGCTTGCTGTCCTGGGCTGGCTTTTCCAGGTGGGCAGAGTGAGGGTCCGGATTGGGGAGAGATTCTGCAGCTGAAGATGGGGAGAGGGCAAATGTCTGAGGGTAAATGAGGCAGGGGCAAGAAGATGAAGGTTCAGGAAAGGCCTAGGGATTCCCATTGTCTCAGGAGGCTGCTGTGAAACTGGCACCTACACCCTGGCACTGTGTGGGGGGCGGAGTAGAGGGGGGGTCTCTGAAGTCGACTAGAGCTGTGACTGTCCTCCTGTCCTGCCAGATTCCCACAGTCCCCGAGGACTTGTTCTTTCTAGAAGAGGGTCCCTCAGATGCCTTTGAGATGGACACAGTAGCCCCAGAGCATGGCTTGGTGAGTGTCGGGGTCCAGCCAGAGTCATGGGAATCCCAAGAATAAAGGAAGTGGGCAGCCTGGGGAGGCCCAGCCAGGGGAAGATGTTACCCTTGTAAACGCCCTGCCAACTGCCTGCTTCCTGGGCATGTGTTGGGGGAGGGGCAACCTGCTGACACTGGCCTGTTCTCCCCAGGACAGCGTGCCTGTGGTGGACCAGCAGCTGCTCTACACCTGCTGCCCCTACATCGGTAAGCACCCGTTTCCCTGGATGGTCCTTGGTCTGTCCCTCCATGAGTACCCAGAAAGCACCCCCTTGGCCCAACTCCCTCACATGTTGCTCCGTTCATAATCATTCCTGGCTGTCTGAGCCTCTTGACTCTACAAATAAAGTCCATGATGCTTAGGGAGGGGAGAGGGTTCCAGAACTGAGACCTTGGACTTCATTGATACAGGAGAGCTCCGGAAACTGCTTGCTTTGTGGGTGTCAGGCAGCAGTGGACGGAGTGGGGGCTTTGTGAGGAAAATCACCCCCACCACCACCACCACCACCAGCAGCCTGGGAACCCAGCCTCCCCAGACCAGCCAGGGGCTGCAGGTAAGGGCAAGGCTGAGGCAGCCCCAGGTGGGAGGTATAGAGGGGGAAGGCTGGAGGAAGCCTCACTGCCTCTCCCTCCTCCCCACAGGCGCAGCTCGCCCAGGCCTTTTTCCACAACCAGCCACCCTCCCTGCGCCGGACTGTAGACTTTGTGGCAGAGAGAATTGGATCGAACTGTGTCAAACATATCAAGTACGAGCGGGTTAAGGATCCCGGGCTCATCCCGCTACCAGTTTTTCCCCTTTTTCCTCATTTGCTAAACTGAGGTGGTCAGCCAGAGAGTGGGTGTGGGGCTGAAACGGCTGACACATTTTGAAGGAAATTTTGACCAAATTTCCTTAAATTTGCAGCCCCTTTCCGATTCACCCTCCAACCACCCCCAACCTTGCTGTCCCTGCTACAGGGCTACACTGGTGGCAGATCTGGTGCGCCAGGCAGAGTCACTTCTCCAAGAGCAGCTGGTGACACAGGGAGAGGAAGGGGGAGACCCAGCCCAGCTGTTGGAGATCTTGTATTCCCGGCTGTGCCCCCACGGGGCCCAGGCATTGGCCCTAGGGCGGGAGTAAGAAGCACTGTTCCATTTGATCCTCTCTTGGCTTTTCTCCGTCCTTTCTTTCCTCTTTCACACTTACTTTTTCCTTCACCCCTTTTTTCTTCTCCCCACGCCCATTCTCTGTAGGCTCAGCATTGGCTGTAGGCTTTTTGTGGTGCAAAATGCAAACCTACATTTGGGAGCGTGTGATACTGTGGGGCTGGCAGTTGGGCTTTCATTTTTTTGGCACCTGGAGTGGGTATGGGAGGGCAAATGGTGCCTCCTTCCAAGGCACAGCCTCCCAGGTCAGGTGCTTGGTATACTTGGGGCATTTACTTCTAGGGCCAGGCTGAAATACCCAGAGACCACTTACCCTGTCTGTCTCCTTTTAGGTTCTGTCAAAGGAAGAGCCCTGGGGCTGTGCGGGCGCTGCTTCCAGAGGAGACTCCAGCAGCAGTACGTGGGAGGGAGGCCTGCAACTAGCAGGCCAGGTGGTTGTGGGAGAGATGCACACACACCCGTGTGAGGCTCAGGGTTGGGGAGGTTGATGCCTGACTCTGGCATCCCTTGTCAGCCCTCCCTCAGCCCCTGACTCTGTAGCTGTGGTTTCCAGGTTCTGAGCAGTGCAGAGAACATTGCTGTGGGGCTTGCAACAGAGAAGGCCTGTGCTTGGCTGTCAGTCAACATCACAGGTAAGGTGCTGAATCAAGTGTTTAAAAAGTGGACTGGTAGAGAGTCAGAGGCATTTTGGGGGAGATGAGACTGAGAGCCCGTAGGAAACGGTGAAAAGCATGGGTCAGCATGGTGAGCCTGTGCAGGGCCCTCCAGTGACCCCTTTCCCATTCTCCCTCTGCCCCACAGCACTGATCAGGAGGGAGGTGAAAGCAGCAGTGAGTCGCACACTTCGAGCCCAGGGTCCTGAACCTGCTGCCCGGGGGGAGCGGAGGGGCTGCTCCGGCGCCTGTGAGCACCATGCTCCCCTCCCCTCCCACCTCATCTCCGAGATAAAAGTACACGGCTACCCTACTCCCTTTGGCTTCCCTGCTCCCTCTCCCTGCTCTGTGCCTGGTTTCTTTCCTTTCTCACATCAGCTCCAGGATTTTTATGTGGAAGTTGTCTGTGCTGTCCAGCTAGTCCCTGTTCTATTGATTACTGAATGAGGTTAGGTAGGGCTGAGCTGGATTGAATGGTTTTCCCAATTGTCACTCTTGACTTTTTAATCATCCAAAAGGGGAAATGGGCAGATAGGACATTTTTGATTGATTACATGCTTATGCAGATAGTGATGAGGGGGGTGGTGAATGGCTTCATAGTAAATGAGTATCTAAGAGGCACTCGCCCCAGTATTTGGAGACAACTTCAGAAATGTTTTATGTAGGAGGTGATGCTCATTTATAGGCAGTAAGAATAAACCCATCAGTTCTCCTAACCTGATTTTAAAAATTCAAAGATTGTCTAGAGCAGGAGTCAACAAACAGCCCATGGACTGAAGTGAGCCTGCCCCTTGTTTTGTGAGTAGTTTTATTGGCATGCAGCCATATAGCCATATTCATTTGTGTATGAGTTGTGTGTGGCTGCTTTTGGGCAACTACTCAGCAACAGCAGAGTTGCATAGTTAAGACAGAGACCTTATGGCATGCAAAGCCTAAAATATTTATTGTCTGGTTCTGGTCTATGGTAATAATCTAGGAATAGAGATTAGAATAGGCAGTAAGGTGCAGTGACTTAAAATGGAGATTGTATAGGAGGAAGAGGCTTAGTGGCCATTTGATACTGGTTGCCAATATGCAGAGGATTTCTGCATTAAAAGCTCAGCTCTCCAGAGAAGATGAACAGAGAGACATTAGAGAAGATCCTAAGGAAGTATCTGATAGACCAGTTTCCCTTCATGCTTCAAAAATAAGATGCCCTATGGGAGTTGGCTCGCTACAATTTGGTCCCAAGTTGAGTGACATTTCCCATGCTCTGGCAGCCTGAGGTCCCTCAGCTGACCTGCTCCGTCTGTTCCGCCTTTTGTTGTCCATGCGGTTGCTCCCCCTTGCTATGGCATCCTATCCAAGTCCCAGGTCTAGGGGCAACTTGGTTTCACTTACCATTCTTCAGGGCCCTATTCTGCGTCTCTCCACTGGCTGATCCCTGTCCCAAGCCAAATTCTCTGTGGCACCTTGGTCTCCAGCACAGGGTGATGTCTCCCCCTGCTCTCTACAGGACGTGCTCTCCTTGGCTGTGGGACCAAGGGACTCTGACGAGGGAGTCTCCCCAGAGCATCTGGAACAGCTTGTAGGCCAGCTGGGCCAGACGCTGCAGTGCCGCCAGGTGAGACGTGGCATCTGCCACCTGAGGGCCGCCTTTCTCTGTCCTTGTGTGAGACCTAATAACCAGAGCCACACTTGCTCAGGTCCAATTCTCACAGCAGTAATTATGGTGATGCCTATGGTCTCCGTTTTCCCCCTGCAGTTCCTGTGCCCCCCTGCTGAACAGCATCTGGCAAAGTGCTCTGTGGAGTTAGCTTCCCTCCTTGGTATGGTTCTTTTCTTCCATCATAACCCTCTTGTCTGGTGCCCCAAATCTCAGGGTTGGGTACAGGCAAGATTAGAAACCAGCCCTCTTCTGCCCCCATCTTTTTTTTTTTTTTTTTTTGGAGAAGGAATCTTGCTATTATTGCCCAGGCGGAATGCAGTGGTGTGATCTCAGCTCACTGCAATCTCTGCCTCCTGGGTTTAAGCGATTCTTCTGCCTCAGCTTCCCAAGTAGCTGGGACTACAACTGTGTGCCACCACACCCAGCTAATTTTTTGTATTTTTAGTAGAGACGGGGTTTCACTATGTTGGCCAGCTGGGTCTCAAACTCCTGACCTCATGATCTGCCCGCCTTGGCCTCCCAAAGTGTTGGGATTACAGGTGTGAGGCACCACATCCAGACTGCCCCCATCTCTTACAGCTTGGCTTTCCTCTCTTTCCACAGTTGCAGATCAGATTCCCATCCTCGGGCCCCCAGCACAGCACAGGCTGGAGAGAGGGCAGGCTCGAAGGCTTTTGCACATGCTGCTTTCCTTGTGGAAGGAAGACTTTCAGGGGCCGGTTCCGTTGCAGCTACTGCTGAGCCCAAGAAACGTGGGGCTTCTGGCAGATACAAGACCGAGGGAGGTGAGTCAGAAGGAACAGGAAGGCGTCTCAGCCCTCTGCAGTCAGGCTCTGAACATCCACCACCCTTGCCTCAAACTGTCTGAGCTGCCGTGCTTCCTTTATTTCCCCTTCCTGTCCCACACAGAAATGGACTCCACTTATCTAAAGTCTCTTCCCAGTAGCTCTGTCCTTTGAGATCTCAATCTGTGTCATCAGGGTCACTCGGCCATCCTCCTAGCAACCCTGACCTTCTTGTGTTTTGCAGTGGGACTTACTGCTATTCTTGCTCCGGGAGCTGGTGGAGAAGGGTCTAATGGGACGGATGGAGATAGAGGCCTGCCTGGGCAGCCTCCACCAGGCCCAGTGGCCAAGGGTAAGGAGTCTCCATCTCCCATTTGTCTTGAAAGGAAGCAAGTGATGGGACAAAACTTAAGTGGATTTTTGTCAAGAGTCTTCAGGGCCACCCTGAAATCATCCCGATTTGAGTAGTTATTATATGAGGGACTGTGTTAGTGGGAAGATGAAAGGAAGACAGTTAGTTGGAAAGCAGCACAGCATAGTGTGTGGGTTTTTAAAATCTGAATAACCTGGATTTTAATCTTGGTAATTTTTTTTTTACGATTTGGGGCAAAGTAATTCATCTTTTAATAGTACTAATAATTTCAAGATGAAATAGATGCACTCAGTAATACTCAAAAAGTGGTAAAGCCTGAGCCTCCCCCATCAGAGTTCACTCCCTGCCATAACTTTAGCCTTCCAAAGTACTAACAGACTAGGTTTCATGTCCATTTCAGTGTGGAAGGCAGGTGAGAAAAAATAATGTAGCCAGCTTGTTGTCTACTGAGTGGTTAGCTAAGGTTTGGTGTTTGGGCTGGTCTTCAGTGAAAAAGAGACTATCCAAAAAAGATGAGATGTTGAGAATTATATGCTGCCTTTTCCCTCATCTTTATACTTACTGCAGGACTTTGCTGAAGAATTAGCAACACTGTCTAACCTGTTTCTAGCCGAGCCCCACCTGCCAGAACCCCAGCTAAGAGCTTGTGAGTTGGTGCAGCCAAACCGGGGCACTGTGCTGGCCCAGAGCTAGGGCTGAGAAGTGGCCCTGCCTTGGGCATCTCACCAGAACCCTGGACCCCCGCCTCACTGTTCCTCAGGAGGTGGCCCAAGTGCCCACCATGGACTCACTGATGTGGGAGTAGCTGGTCTATAATCGGACTTCCTGCTCTGTGAAAGAAGGGTGTTGCTGCCTTACATCCCAGCAACTACAGGACTACCACGCGAATCCTAGAGGAAGGAGAGCTGGCCTGATTCAGATTATGACAGAGAAGCCCAGAGATGCCAGTCTGGAGTGGAAGAGGTGGTGTTTTTCTCTTGGATACTAAATGAAATGAGGTGTGTGGGCTTGTCAACACAGAATTCAAGCCTCATTTGCTATCCCCAGTAGCTCTTAAAACTTTGTGGTCTTGGAATGCATGACAGAGGCAAGTGACTTCCACTTAACTTAAAAAGTTAAAACATGAATCGTGGGAGTCTACATTTTCTTACCATCAGGAGGTAGACTACAATCTCCTTAAAAATGCCTACCACCACACGGGTAGGGTGTGGTGGCTCATGCCTGTAATCCCAGCACTTTTAAAGGTAGGTGATCATTTGAGGTCAGGAATCGGAGACCCGCCTGTAATCCCAGCACTTTGAGAGGCCGAGGTAGGCAGATTATTTGAGGTCAGGAGTTCAAGACCAGCCTGGCCAACATGGCAAAACTGTATCTCTACTAAAAATACAAAAATTAACTGGGCATGGTGGAGTGTGCCTGTAATCCCAGCTTCTCGGGAGGCTGGGGCAGGAGACTTGCTTGAACCTGGGAGAAGGTGGTTGCAGTGGTGCGACTCCAGCCTGGGTGACAGCAAGACTATCCAAAAAAACCTAACAGATAAGGTATGACTCCTCAACCAACTGAAACCTGGCTTTCCCCCTGTACCTTCAGCCCCAGTGTGGGTAGTAACTTTTGAGACCTCTCTCTCTCTGACCAGGGACCAAGCACAGGGCATTTAGAGCTTTTTAAAATAAACTGGTTTTCTTTAACAAGGGCTTGATGTCTAGTCATTTTTACCTGTCTTTTTCCCTTTTAGAAGGCTGCAGAGTCAGGGCCGGGCGCGGTGGCTCAAGCCTGTAATCCCAGCACTTTGGGAGGCCGAGGCGGGTGGATCACGAGGTCAAGAGATCGAGACCATCCTGGTCAACATGGTGAAACCCCGTCTCTACTAAAAATACAAAAAATTAGCTGGGCATGGTGGCACGTGCCTGTAATCCCAGCTACTCAGGAGGCTGAGGCAGGAGAATTGCCTGAACCCAGGAGGCGGAGGTTGCGGTGAGCCGAGATCGTGCCATTGCACTCCAGCCTGGGTAACAAGAGCGAAACTCCATCCCCAAAAAAAACAAAAACAAAAACAAAAGAAGGCTGCAGAATCTCAGGTGGGTTTTAGGTTGAGCTATAATTGTGGCTTCACTGTGTGCATTGCCAAGTGAACTGCCTTGCCTCTTAGGAATGCCTATATAGTCCACTCTAGAAAACTAATCTCTGGTGGCAGTTACCTATAAATTTATTGTCAGTGGTACTGACTTCTGTGTAACTATTTGTGGGAGAAAGGGTTAGGATAACGTAGTTTCTACACACAAGATGTTCCCTACTGAACCACACGGTGGGGCAGTTCTTGTTATGCTGTCCTGTTAAGCCTGGGGTGTTTGATTTAACTTGGAGTAACTCGGAATAAAAAAGGATTGCTTCTCAATTAGAGCTGTATCGAGCTCTACATATAAGTCATTGATTTTGACAGATTCACACCTGTAATCCCAGCGCTTTAGGAGACCAACAGGGAGGACTGCTTGAGTTCAGGAGTTCAAGGTTACAGTCAACTATGTTTGCGCCCCTGCATGCCAGCCTGAGCAACAGTGAGACCCCCATCTCTTTGAGAAACAAAAAGCACTACTATGATCATGTGCATTACCACCAGGAGTTGGACTGGTAATATCCCAGGAGGACCTAAATGGATCCACTTATCAGACCATGGTAAAACCTGGAAATCCCATCAACCTAGGAAGTGAAAAATAGGAGTTTTCTCAGTCACCACCTTGTGATCATACTTTTCCCAAATACCATGCCATTCCCCTTTCCTCAGCTACTCCTTTAACAAGTTTTTCATCTGAACCTTTTTCCCTGATCTCTTCATTTTCAAAGGCCTTTATTTATCCTTTAAATCCAATTTGTTTTGAATGCCTGGGAACCAACAAAGTTTTAAGGAATGCTTTCTCAGCTAGACGTGGTTGCTCACTGCACTTTGGGAGGTCAAGGCGGGAGGATCGCTTGTGCTCAGGAGTTTGAAACCAGCCTGGGCAACATGGGGAAACCCCATCTTTATAAAAATATAAAAGAAAATTGGTCAGGAGCAGTGGTCCATGCCTGTAGTCCCAGCTACTTGGGAGGCTGAGGTCAGAGGGTCACTTGAGCCCAGGAGGTCAAGGCTACAGTGAGCCATGATCAAGCCACTGCACTCCAGCCTTGGCTGCAGAGTGACACCTGTCTTTAAAAATTTTTTTTTTCTATGCCCGGGACCAGCACTGGGTGTGGATGAACCACAGCACTGCCCCAGGAAGCTTCTGGTAAGCGTCAGGCTCATGGCTACTTCTTGACTTTTTCCAGGTGACCCAGCTGAGGTGTGTGACGTGGGATGGGCAGGAGAGGAAAACCTGAAACACCTAAGGTTGCTGAGATTGAAGGGCTGGGCCATAACCCAGGCCTGGCTTACGGCCCACTAAGTTAAAACCAAGTTCTTGGCAATCTGAATGGAAATTTAACATGTTCCCGATGAAGGAAACTTCCTGCTGGCCTGTGTGAGCCTTAAAGGCTACTCTAAGGATTGTGGAGACAGGCAGCTAGGGGCCAGCGAACTAATCAGATTCTTTTCTATTTAATTGTCAAAGCCAGCTGTTGACAGTGTGGTCCCCAAACCAGCAAACTTAAGGGCCCCCTGGGACTTTTTATTTTTTTGAGATGGAGTCTGTTGCCCAGGCTGGAGTGCAGTGGCGCAATCTTGGCTCACTGCAACCTCTAGTCCCCAGGTTCAAGCGATTCTCCTGCTTTGGCCGCCCGAGGAGCTGGGACTACAGGTGCATGCCACCACACCCGGCTAATTTTTTGTATTTTTAGTAGAGATGGAGTTTTACCATGTTGGCCAGGATGGTCTCAATCTCCTGAACCAGTGATAATGCCCACGTTGGCCTCCCAAAATGCTGGGATTACCAGTGTGAGCCACCACACCCAGCAAGACTTCTTGTTAATACAAATACTCTGGTCCCTCCCCAAGGCTACCAAACCAGTAACTTGGGGTAGGGCCCAGCCTGGAACATAAGAAAGCTTTCAGATGATTCTGATGTAAGCAAAAGTATGAGAATCACCCAGTGAAACCAAAATCTTACTCCACTTTTGATTTTTGCTACAAGATCCCTCTCAAACTTTCAGTTGCTGATTAAGTCAGCTCTAGTGCGTGGGTTTTTTTTTTTTTTTTTTGCAATGGAGTCTCACTCTGTCACCCAGGCTAGAGTGCAGTGGCAAGATCTTTGTTCACTGGAACCTCCGTCTCCCAGGTTCAAGCAGTTCTTGTGCCTCAGCCTCCCGAGTAGCTGGGACTACAGGAGTGTGCCACCATGCCTGACTCATTTTTTGTATTTTTAGTAGAGACAAGGTTTCACCAGTTGGCCAGGCTGGTCTCGAGCTCCTGACCTCAGGTGATCCACCTGCCTCAGACTCCCAAAATGCTGGGATTACAGGCATGAGCCACCACGCCCAGGTGACTTCTCTATTAAGGTAGACAGGGTTACCTCCTGGTTATCTCCCTACTCAGATTCCCATAGGTGGCTCTGCCTCAGAAGCCCCAGGGCACTGTGGTCACTGTTAGATGTGGCAGTGACTGTTCTGGATCCTCCACTTCAGTTCTTACTTGGGCTATCGTTGAGCAACTTACCTGGTTGCTGTTTACCCTGCAAAGAAATGCCAAGTTCATGGGAAGCTGTACATACATATAAACTGAATCTTTGAATTGGCCATGAGTGGCTATTGCCAGTGTGATCTCCAGCTAACTGCCAAACTCGAATGACACACTTAGACTATCGCGGTGCAGTATTTCATCTACTCTTCACTAGATAAAGTATGCAGAGGACTTTTAATTTAAAAATGATCTGACTTTTTTGGTCAGTAGTCTTAGAGATTTATATGACAAGAGGTAGGAGTACATAAATAGGGTGTTAAATATGTCACCAAAAAAATTTACCAGAGAAATAGAAGTTTAAAAGCAATTTTAAAAAACCTTCAATCAACAATATATAAATAATCTGAGGTAAGAGGGAAAAATGCCCTGCAAACACTTTAGAAAAATAAATCTCTGCCATGCTATACAGAAATACACCTTTTACCACATCTTCTGAATCCCCAAAAGATTTTGGGCACCAGAACTAAAGATGGGGATCTTCCCCAACCCTACCACTTCCAAGTAAACACACAGAATATTCACGGCTCACATCCAGCCAGGCTAAAGTACAAGAAAACTGAACCCACTCTCCATCCCATCCCATCCTAGGATAGGTGAGGCCAGAGAGAAATCATGGAATGCTCAGGACTCCACACCTCCCAACTGACTGAGGTAAGTTCTGGAACTGAGCGTCCTCCCAACAAGCCATTCGCCTCCCCTCCTCAAAGGGCAATGTTTAAGCTCTGAAATTCCTCTTGCCTTGTCAGCAACCAGCATCTGGCTGCCACTCCAACCAGTCCTCAAAGACCTCAGCCCCTCACCCTGACCCCATATCTGTCCAACCTGGTTCTACGGTGTCTTCCATCTGACAGCTCTAGAGTGACAGCTCCATATCAGAGCATCACTCAACACCCCTGACTCGTGCCAAGACCCAAATGTCTTCTCCTGGGAGGAAAAGGGAGAAAAAACAAAAAAATCAATAATAAAGTATTTTGCAAAAATTCAAGAGAGAGAATATTCTGAATCAGTGTTCTGGTCTGTGCAGCTTTTTTTGAATCTTCTTTGTTTTGGTATTTTTAATGTCCTACCACACAGTGGAGCTAAATGCTGGAGGTAGATTCAGGGCAGAGTCTTGGCCATTGGCTGCCTGCTTCCCTACCAGCTTATGGAAGCATCTTGCCAAAGCACTGCAGTCCCCCGGCTCTGCTGGCTGTGCCCAATTCTGGTCCTTAAGTAGCCTGTCTGCTGCAGTCCCAGCAACAGTAAAGAACGGTGAGAAATCCAAAAGGTGAGCTGAGCTGCATTCACTCTGGACAGCCAGGGCCAGGAGCTCAGGCCATTTGCTCTGCACTGGTGCCAGCTGTGATCAAGTACTAACTGAGCTTTGC